GTTTTCGTTTCTTTTTATTTTTCGCTTCTTCTTCTTCTTCTTCTTCTTCTTTTTCTTCTTCTTCTTCTTCTTCTTCTTCTTCTTCTTCTTCGTTTCTTTTTATGTTTCGCTTCTTCTTCTTCTTCTTCTTCTTCTTCTTCTTCTTCTTCTTCGTCTTTGTTTTATCTTCTTTGTTTCTTCTCCGTGTTTTCCTTCTTCGTTTCTTCTTCTTTTTTATTTCTTCTTCTTCTTCTTCTTCGCTTTTTCTTCTTCCTTTTCTTCTTATTCTTCTTTGTTTCTTCTCCTTCATGTTTTTCGTTTTCGTTTCTTCTTCCTTTCTCGTCCTTTGTCGTTTTCTTTTTCGATTCTTCTTCTTCTTCTTCCTGTTTTCGTTTCTTCTCCTTCTTCTTCTTCTCCTTCTTCTCCTTCTTCTTCTTCTTCTTCTTCTTCTTCTTCTTCTTCTTCAACTTCTTCTTCTTCTTCTTCTTTTTCTTCTTCTTCTTCTTCTTCTTCTTCTTCTTCTTCTTCACGGATCGCCATCGCCTCCTCCTCCCCTCTCTGTGACACCCTCCTTCCCTCTTCCACCGTACCCCCCACCAGCTCCACGTCATCAGCCGCCATAGCCCCCCTCCTCTCTCATAGCGGCCCTCCCTCTCCCCTCTCCATTGCCCTCCTTTCTCTACCGCTGCCCCCAAAACACACAAAAATCCACATCAATAGAAATCAGAAACAAGGCCGGGTATAGGCAGTACTTGGAATGCGCAGAAAGGCACGGGAACCCAAAAAAAAAGAGTGCATTTTTTGCATGCCCGGGGTACCCCGGGCATGGTCCCCCCCCGGGTTGCCCCGGGAAAGCTAGACCTATATAGTATATACACCAGATTTCATGCAATTCTTATCACTACCGCTAAAACTCAAAATGAATCTTCCATTTTGTGAAGCCGGTTTTACAGAAAGGCGTTGAACTGACTGTCAAGTCATATCATCTCATTAGAGACCAAAAAGTGTAGATTGTGTTTGATCGGAAAAGGATGATGCCCACTGCCTCTCCTGCAAGCACCTAAATATGGATTGCGAAATCCCTTTGCCCTTGGAAGATTGACCTGGGTTCCTTTTTTTTTTTTTTTTCATTCCTCTCCCTGTTTTTATTTCATTTTTAGTTTTAGTTTTTTGATAAAACAGGTCATTATGGCTCTGGCTCCATATCCATTCTGAGGAGCATCAGTCCGGTTCCTTTTTTTTCTTTTTTTTTGGTTGAAAAAATGCGAGTTGCTTTTTCTTTCTGAGTCTTACTAGAAAAAAAATGAAAATTGAGGCAAGTACTTGATGCCTCACTGGACGTTTTGTCGGTTTGTGTTGGTTGCAGTTGAGATCTCAGGAGTTAATGTTACAGGCAATGGAGAAGAGAGTCCGGTTCCTTTTTTTTTTTTTTGTTGAAAAAACACGAGTTGCTTTTTCTTTCTGAGTCCAACTAGAAAAAAATTAAAATCGCGGCAAGTACTTAATGCCTAACCGGACATTTTGTCGGTTTGTGTTGGTTGCAGTTGAGATCTCAGGAGTTAATGTTACAGGCGATGGAGAAAGAGAGGGCTGCACTAAGAGCTCGCACTCAACAACGCGAACGGCGGATCTCAGAAGACAATCCTCCAATCTTACAAGTTTTGCAGGTGATTATGTGCTGTGATCATCCATTCAATGATAAAGAAAGCACATTTGCAACATTCATGAGTGGCTCAGCTACACACAGGAAGTTAGAGTCAAGAGATTGATGAGTGAGGGCGGAGGGAGAATTCAATTCCGAACAACAAAGAATAATACTCCTCTGGGCATTTAACTTCGACGTTCCTGGTCGCAATTTTGGGTTTCTTTTAACCGAAAATTGCCAGGGCTTACCGTGTTCCGGCCAGTAGGACCCGACGATTTCGGTTAAAAAAACGTCGAAATTGCAGTCAGGAACATCAAAGTTAAATGCCCAAAACCCCTTGGGCATTTAGCTTGGACGTTCCTAAGCCCTTTGGGTTATTCGATACTCCTTTGGGCATTTATCTTCGACGTTCCTGTCCGCAATTTCTGCTTTTTTAAAACCGAAAATCGCCAGGGCTTACTGGATTCCCGCCAGTACGACTTGATGATTTCGGTAAAAAAAACGCTGAAAGTGCAGTCAGGAACGTCAAAGTGAAATGCTCAAAGGCGTAATAACAAGAGTGAACTGCAATGAGCCCACGGTCCACATAGCAACTCACAATGCACAAGAGTCACACTTTATCACAGGAAAATCCACACGAGCGATGGAAGGCAACATGAGATATAAGTAGTTTGGAAATTGTCTGGAAATCAGTGTCTTATACAGCAATCCGTATGCTCACAGGTACGCGGCAATGGCTGCCAAGCGTACACTCGGGTATGAACTCTCTCTCTCTCTCTCTCTCTCTCTCTCTCTCTCTCTCTCTCTCTCTCTCTCAACCCTACTCTACCCTGAGGCCTTACTCACTCTCCGAAGGTTCTCTCTCTCTCTCTCTCTCTCTCTCTCTCTCTCTCTCTCTCTCTCTCTCTCTCTCTCTCTCTCTCTCTCTCTCTCTCTCAACCCTACTCTACCCTGAGGCCTTGCTCACTCTCTGAAGGTCTTCGTCTCTCTCGCATGCAACTGCTAGGGCGCCGGGCACCGTCAACTACCTTACTTGACTACCTGCAGCCTATGTTGCACGCTGCCCCTAAGGGTGGGGCGCAGCGCTACCGGGAGCGCTGCGCCCCGGCATCAACCGCGGCGGCGGAGTGAGGCGGCGAAGCGGGAGGGTGCCCGGCTTGCATTGCTCTCGCTTTGAAGTATCCATACGAACGAACTAAGGCGGGGCGATGGCGTGATGGAGACGCTGGTGGGGTTAAGGGGAGTTACGGGACAGGGTGTCGAGCTTACAGCGGCTACTTGTTAAGCGTTTTGCGCACGCGCGGGGAGCAAAGGTGCTGGTCTACTCCGTATCACGAGTTGATAGGAAGAACTAGACTGACTCCCGGGGGCTTCCTGGGAGTTCCGCGTCCATACTCCATTGCTGCTGCGTTTCTGCCCGTGGCATAGAGCCTGTGAGGTGTCGCCTCTGGTGACGCCTGTGGAGTGCAGCGGAGAGAGCCTTGGGCAACCCGAAGTGCGAGTGAAGTGCGAGTGAAGTGCGAGTGAAGTGACTGCCCGTCATCACCGGTGTCTTCGTTTATCGCCATCATCATTTTTTCGTGATCATTACGTCGCCGTATCATCCTCATCCTCATCATCATCATCATCATCGTCATCAGCATCATCAGCAGGGTGCGGCTCATCATCACCTTCATCAGGGCGCTGGGTGCCATCATCATCAGAGCGCTGGGCGCTGTTCGTCATTGAGCTGATGCTCGTCATCATCAGCATCACGGTTGGTCGGTATCATCGCCAGCAGCAGCACTAACGTCATCGTGTGCGTGGTCGTCAGGGTGATGGGTGTCATCATCATCAGGGCAAGGGGCGTTGTTCGTCATCATCATCAGGGCAAGGGGCGCTGTTCGTCATCATCATCAGGGCAAGGGGCGCTGTTCGTCATCAAGCTGAGTTTCGTTATCAACAGCGTCAAGGGGGTGATTCGTCGTCACTATCATCCGTCATCATCATCATCATCATCATCATCATCATCGTCATCATCATCATCGTTATCATCACTGTCAGGGAGCGGTTCGTCACCACCATCATCATTATCATCCCGTCGCATCATCATCAAGGTTTGTCGGGATCATCATCAGTAGGATGCTACTCGTCATCATCATTACCAGCAGCAGCACCAACGTCATCAACAGGAGGTGGATTATCATCACCATCATCCTTACGTGATCGCAGGGCACTGTGCGTCGTCGTCGTCATCATCATCATCATCATCATCATCATCATCATCACCACCATCATCATCATCATCATCAAAATCAGTATCATCACCATCATCATCATCGTCATCATCATCATCACCAGAGCGCTGGGCGCATCATCATCAAGGGTTGTCGGGATTATCATCTGTAGGGTGCTGCTCGTCATCATCATCACCAGCAGCAGCACCAACGTCATCAACAGGAGGTGAGTTATCATCACCATCATCCTTTGGTGATCGCAGGGCGCTGGGCGTCGTCGTCGTCATAACCATCATCATCATCATCATCATCATCATCACCATCATCATCATCATCATCATCATCATCATCTTCAAAATCAGTAGCATCACCATCACCATCATCATCATCATCATCATCAATCATCTGAAAATCGTTTAGTCTCAGGGTGCCGTTTTCGGCTTCACGTACATCCCGATTAGCTACATCTTGGTTACTCATATCTAGATCACCTATATCTTGATTACCTAGATCTCGATTACTTACTTCTCSATAATACTTCCATCATCATCAMTACCATCATCAATACTAATATCATCTGAAAACTTTTCGGTCTCAGGGTACCGTTTTTGGTTACCCAATTATCCAATAGCCATTAATAATTACATCCGGATGAGCTATATCTTGATTACCTATATCTAGATCACCAATATCTTGATCACCTATATCTCGATTACCTGCTTCTTGATTACATACCTCTTGATTACTACTATTTACAGTAGTAACATCAGACAATTTTTTTCAGGTTGGGATTGCTCAGTAATTTCACTAGTAGGTTTTGCTCTGCCTGTCCCCCCGAGTGAGGTGAGGCGCATTTTCTTTATTTTGTTTTTTCACGATTTTCTTGTTCCTGAGTGGGGATTTCAAACATCGAATTTTGCAGACGTTTTAGGGGGGATAGGATTCCGGGGGTTATGGCTGGAACTTTGGTAGGCAGGGAGGGTTTTTGAGACCCCAGGGTACAGATATACGGTAGTTACCCACAGCAGGTCTGAGAACCGCCTGGCCTAAGTTAGGGGACAAGCCAGGGGAAGGGAGGTAGGACTGTCAGCCTGGGCTCCGCCTGGCCTTGGGGAAGCTAGGGGAAGGAGAGATAGGGCTGGCCAGTTGTGGGTATAGACTACTAGTTAGCTGTCCCCGAAAAAGAAACCCTGGGGTCTGTTACAGGGGAGCCTTATTCTACAAGGGTGTTGCATGGTGGGAGGCAATAGCCCTATTGGGTGTAGGGCAGATCGGGGATTGTCTGAGTCTGGGGCCGGGGTTGGAGAGTTGGTCGCCTTCAACCCCAGCGGGGGCAGACAGGGACAAGGGGTGGGCAAAGGCAGCCTCTAGGAGGGGATTGGTTGCCTTCGCGGATGAGGTGGAGGGAGGGGAGGGGATCTGTTCTATGTTGGGGCCGAGGGATTTTCCTCGGTGGAGGCAGCATGAGACAGGGTACAGTGGGYGTGGATTGGTTTGAGCTGTCACCAATGGAATCGTATCTTCTTCACGATCTAMTAAATTCGATGCCATCCGTGGCCTTACAATCTAGGCAGCACCTGGTCTTCTTCTYTATTTAGGATACAGGAATTCAGGGRTTGTCGAACCTAGACTGATGACTGCTGAAGTTGCTTTGTTCTGTGCTCCTGGATTGCCGATGTGGTGAACTARGGGGGGCTACCTTGACAACTCATGGGGCGGGGTTAGCCTGGGTAGTGAGAAGAGATCAGCTAAGGCAGCGGGGGGATAGGTTTGTCTTGGTCCAGAGTTGCAATATC